ACAGAACGCTGCAGAGGTTTCAGTTGCACAAAGTCATAACAATGCCAAGAGTTATCCTTTTTGTGCGGTTCAGTATTGATCATAATAGCTTGTTTTACGCTGCTTTCACGAATATTTACTCAGCATATGCTGCTAATTCTCAGCGCAGCATTTGTCATACAGGCATGCATGAATTCTTGTATATTCTATCCGTCACTTCAGAAGTTACATCGTGTTTTCTTCAAAATTTATCAAGTGCTCTTCCCATAGCCAACAATAAGTTTCAATGAAAAGTTTATTTAGTGTTTTTTCTTTCTTCAGTTTCGCCTTCATGCTTACAGGGTAATTTCAGTTACTAATACAAACTGCCAAATTTGCAATATATTTGCAGATACTTAGTTGCTATAAGTAGCAGTTTGATAGACAATGACGCTGGCACATAATTTGTGGAGCATGAGAAATAAACTGGTGTCAAAATTGTTAGATTAGAAAAGACATGCACGATAGAATGAAAACGATAACTCGAAATACATGCGGCGAAACAGAAGAATTCCTTGCGCGAGTGTGTGCCCATCAAGGTTCTGCACTGAGCCAGCTTCTGTTCTCGATAGCGACATACGCGATAACTGAAAGGCTGCGAAGCAGCCCCATACTTAATGCTCAATGCAGATGTTGTGCTGAGCAATGACAGCAGAAAAGTAATAGGAACAAAAACCTAGACATGGAGAAGAGCCCTTAAAAACACTGCTTTCAGGTCAATGGCGGGCTATTTCAGTGGGGACAACAAAATGAAGGTCAATAAATCAGTGAAAGTAGCGGGGGTTATGCTATTTTCAAATCAAGAAATCAGTCGAAAAAGCGCATTTCAGATGGAGAAAAGTGAATGCAGACGGTGCAATAGGAAGATGCCCATAAATAGGAAGGTGTACAGAACGATAGAAAGACGATACTTTTGTTTAGAATGAAATTTTTATCTGCCCTGAAGAGAATGAAGCTTCGGAGAAATGCGAATACCAATATGCATATGCGGTGTCAGCAAAAAGAACCATATCAACGCCTTCATAAGTGGCACTCTGTGTGCAGCACCAATTACAGTAAACCTGGTGGAAAGCAGGCTTATTTGGTTCGGTCACGTGGAAAGAAGATCCGGCGAGCACGTTGGAAATGTGGTCCAAGCACGGATACTTCCAAGAAAGAAAAGAAGGGTAAGAGCAAAGAACAGAGACTCAGTGTTTTAGAGAATGATATAACACCTGCCACGACTGACCGATGATTTGACCGGAGACCAAAAAATGCAAAGGCAGTTGACGCAAACAGCAGAACCTAAAGAGAACACGCTAGGAAAAAGAGAAAAACAAGAGAAAAGCTCACTTGCTGAAAGTCAAAATTTAAACGATATTGCAAAATTTAATGTGCCTGAGAATAAAAACGTTAGCACCATCGTTTTACTTCTTGTTTTACTTGTTACTTGTTTTCCTTTACTGGGTGTTCTAGTCATGTGTCAAAAAAATAAATGAGCTGCAGGCCTAGAATCGAAGAAACTTTCATATAATGTCATATTCCTTGATTGAGATTGTTATTAACTCAACGATTATGCACATTTAATAATAGTGCTTCGCTTAATGATCTGATTGTTCCAGTACCCAACATTAACTTCATGAAAAGAGAAATGCCATAAATTGTCATGTCATGAAAGTGTAACAAAGACTGATGTTTCAAAGGTTACAAACTTTTCTTCCTTTTCTTTTGCTTGTAGTCAGGTGAGAAATATTGAAAAGTGCGATCTATGATATTCAAGACGACGCTAATGAGACTAATCAGAAAAGTAGTTCATTTCCAAGTCGTTATTTAGACTGTTACTCGAAATGCAACATATGAAAATCTCCCGTACTACCAGTATTAACGCAAGGTCAAATGGAAAAATTGTGTACCTCATATCCAAAGAGCTTTCAATATATTCAGTCTTACAAAGTATAAGTGAAATTGAAAATAAAAATGGAATCGATGAACTAATTCTTTATTTGCTGTCCTGCAGCTGCGTCAGACAAAAGGTAAGGTGACTGGCAACACTGCCTGGCATGCAGCATCAAGAAATAAGGCATGACCAACGGGTTTAAAAACTGTTTGCCTATTACAATAATTATACTGAGAGAATGCTAACTGAAGTAACTTGACCATGCAATCAGTAAAAGACAGGATGCAATCGCAGAGAGAATTACGCATTTTCTTAAACACCTTATTTGTGAGGACATCAATCATGGCACAGTATTGCATGCTGATAAATAAAACCAAGTTTCCTGCTGTGCCAGATGCATCTCGCATCAATAGGACGGCTAGAAACACGTCGCTCTCATTACCAACAATGCTTCAGAAGCCGATACTTCTTATATGCTACCGCATAAATTGATGTGAAATCTGATCTTGGATGATTTATACGCTATTTGACATACTCCGGCGTACGGACAACTTATAATTTTTAACTGTAGCATATAAGGAGCAACAGCACCTGAAACATCGTTCGCGAAAATCGCGAGGTGGCGCTGGTGAACAAAACTGTCTGCTGGCTAAAGAAGCGTGAGCAACAAGCCAT